CCACACAGCCTTGCTGGCCACCTGGTAGACTGTTGAATGAACTAAATGAACTCGACCTCAGAGTCCCTGTGCAGCCTGCGACAGCCCCTCCCCCACCTGCCAGAGGCCAAGCATCTCTCTCATCCTCTTCCTCCAGAGCAACTATCTTCATCCCCCATCAAAATGACTTCATGAAGCCATCCCCTCCCAGTTCTCAGGGCCAGCCCAGCAAGCTGAAGCCCAAGGGAGGGATGGAAACCACCCCAGTCTTACCCCAGCAAGGCACTTGAGAGCGAGCATCCAGCAGCACACAGGCTGCCCCAGGACCCCCGACACTGGAGTCATCCCAACATTCCACTGGCAGCAACTGCCCCAAACACGGTGCACAGGGACAGCAAATAGATTTCCCCCTGCTCCCATTCCAGGTGATTACTAGTGTGCCGCCCTACCTGGCTTGGCAAAAAAACACACCATGATAGACTAGTGATGTCTTGGCTGGGAGTGGCAGGATTGGAAGGCATGTCACTGGGCCACCATTCCCACAGGGCTTGAAGGGACTCCAGAGCAGTGCTGCCCAAGGGGACTCTCCATGATGATGGAAATGTGCTATGTCAGCACTGCCTGATTCAGCCACCAGGAGCCACGTGGTTCCTCACCACTTCAGATTTGGCTAACATATCTGAGGAACTGAATTTTTATTTAATTTAAAATTTTAAGTTAAAATAGCCCCTGAGGGCTGGGCACAGTGGCTCACACCTGTAATCCCAGCACTTTTGGGAGGCCGAGGCAGGTGGATCGCAAGGTCAGGAGGTTGAGATCAGCCTGGTCAATATGGTGAAACCCGTCTCTACTAAAAAGTAAAAAAATGGCTGGGCGCAGTGGCTCACGCCTGTAATCCCAGCACTTTGGGAGGCTGGGGCAGGCGGATCATGAGGTCAGGAGTTCGAGACCAGCCTGACCAACATGCTGAAACCCCGTCTCTGCTAAAAATACAAACAAAATTAGCCGGGTGTGGTGGCACACGCCTGTAATCCCAGCTTCTCAAGAAGCTGAGGCAGGAAAATTGCTTGAACCTGGGAGGCAGAGGTTGTAGTGAGCAAAGATGGAGCCACTGCACTCCAGCCTGGGTGAGTGGAGAGGAGAGACTCCATGAGTCCCAGCACTTTGGGAGGCCAAGGCAGGTGGATCACAAGGTCAGGAGTTTAATACCAGCCTGGTCAAGATGGTGAAACCTCATCTCTACTAAAAATACAAAAATTAGCTGGGCGTGGTGGCGGGCACCTGTAATCCTAGCTACTCGGGAGGCTGAGGCAGAAGAATCGCTTGAACCTGGGAGGTGGAGGTTGCAGTGAGCCGATATCATGCCACTGCACTCCAGCGTGGGCAACAGAGTGAGACTCCGTCTCAAAAAAAATAAAGTGAAATAAAATAAAAAATAACATAGGCTGAGCGTGGTGGCTCACACCTGTAATCCCAACACTTTGGGAGGCCGAGGCGGGCAGATCGCAAGGTCAGGAGATCAAGACCATCTTGGCCAACATGATGAAACCCCGTCTCCACTAAAATACAAAAAATTAGCCGCATGTGGTGGCGCATGCCTGTAATCCCAGCTACTTTGGAGGCTGAGGCAGAGGAATCGCTTGAACCCAGAAGGCAGACGTTGCAGTGAGCTGAGATCGTGCCACTGCACTCTAACCTGGTGACAGAGCAAGACTCCAACTCAAAAACAAAAATAAACAAAAAAAAACATAAAATAGCCCCTGGGGGCTGGGCATGGTGGCTCAAACCTATAATTCTAGCACTTTGGGGGGTGGATCGCTTGAGCCCAGGAGTCTGAGACCAGCCTGGGCAACATAGCAAAACCTTGTCTCCACTAAATGTAAAAATAAAAATTTTAATAGCCCCTGGAGTTCCTGGTTACTTTACTGGACACTGAAGGTTTAGACAACTGGACTTTAATATTCCACTGACACCCCAGAGTGAACACTTCCCTGGAAACACAGGTAACACTGACCCAAGGCTCAGCATTGTGGCCCAAAGCCCACACTGCCAGGCTTCAAGCCCACACTGCTGGGCTTCAGAAACACCTAAGGTTGGGCCTCAGCTCTAGCACACGGGCCACAGGTTTCCCATTCTGTCCGCAGAGGCCAGCTGAAGGTCAAGGTCCACAGTGGGTGGAACCTGTTGACAAGATGTCCACAAACCCATCTCCAACCACAGTACTCACAGGACAGTGAGGAAGAAGAATCTAACCCAAAGCAGACTCTCACTTCCTGATTGTCAGAGGTGTGCCAAGGCCAGGCACTATGTGGGTCTGAGATGGATCCCCCAGCCCCTACCTCACCCAGAAGTGGGACGTGCAAGACCCCTCCCCCGACGCGGGAATGGCAGACAGGAAAATAGAAAAACAGAATGTTTACCTGTTGTGGACTTTTAGATAATATTTGCTGAGGAACTTTTTATGACATGTGGGGCATTCGACCGGCACCGCTGTACCTTTTCTGTTCTCAGCAGGCTCAGCTGCTAGGGAGCCCGCGCTCAGGGCTGGCTCAGCTGCACAGGCCTTTCGGATTACATTTGACTTCCTCCTGGTCAGCACAGCCTCAGGCTCAGACATGTAATCACCATCCCCGTCGTCCTCCACTTGAACCACCACTTCCCACTAGAGCACAATAGGCAGCAGGAGGGGGTGGGGTCACCAAATGAATCAGCAGGAGTTGTAGGGACCCAGCTCCAGTTCCATCCCAAGCCCCAACCCTGACAAGTCCCTTCATCAGACACTGTTCCTTCAGGGGCCCAAGGCAGAGCATCTGAATCTTGGATTCAGAGGAAAGTGACTGTGTTTGTGGGGAACTGGAAGCTCGGATGGAAACACTATCCTGGGGAAACACCTGTAACCCTGATGCTGCCCACTCCTCTCCGGAAGGTGGCAACCATGAATAGCTGGGGCTTGCAGAAAGGTCAGCCTGAGATCAGCAGCTTCCTTTGTTTGGAGAAAGCCTGTTCCAAACCCACATTAACAGAGATTGTCTTAAGGTCCACCTTTTTTTTTTTTTTTTTTTTTTTTGAGACAGGGTCTTGCTCTGTCGCCTAGGCTACAGCGTAGTGGCACCATCTCAGCTCATTGCAACCTCCACTTCCTGGGCTCAAGTGATCCTCCCACCTCACCCTCCCAAGTAGCTAGGATTACAGGTGTGTGCCACCACACTTGGCTAATTTTTATATTTTCTTTGTACAGATGAGGCCTCACCATGTTGCCCAGGCTGGTCTTGAGCTCCCAAGCTCAAGTGATCCACACCCACCCTGGCCTCCCAAAGTGCTAGGATTACAAACAGACTTCGTCCATCCCTGTCATCCTCCACTTGAACCACTCACGTGAATGAGCCATCACACCCAGCCCAGGGTCCCTATTATACCAAAAAAAGTGTCTATTCCCTCCATTTGTCTCCCCAGTCCCAGCACCCTGGGCACAGTACCTCATTACTCCCGCCCTGCAGCTGGTCACTTTCAGCCTCGAAGGGCCTTGGAGGCACTTTGCAGTCCTCAGGTTCCTTGTCCTCGGGGGAACAAGGCTTCAAGGCCTGCTTGAGTTTCCCACAGAGAGAGGAGGGGCTCTCTCTCTGAGCTGGGGAATGGAGCTGGGGCCTCTGAGGACTATGACTGCCTCTGGGCTCCTGATCTCTGGGGACTAGACCCAGAGTCCTCGAAACTTCCTCTTCTTGCAAGCCTACCGGCTCCTTGAGGAGGCTGTTCACATTCTGGGAGGCAGGGGGCCCCAGCCCACTCTGGCCACCTGCTGCCTGTCCCACTGAAGTTTTGGGCTTGAAGCTCTGGCACAGCTCTACGGCCTCTGGCACTCGCAACTCCCTGGCTGCCAGGAGCACCTGATCCCGGTTCCCTGAGGTGAGAGCGAGGTGACCAGTGTAGAAAAAGTCCAACAAGAGGCCAAAGATCTCAGCGAAGCCAGCAGGGAGGACGACACTACCTCCTGAGCCATCCCCGTAGAGGCTCTGGAAGAAGTGGCTGCAGCAGGCAAGGACACTCCAGTGCGCCTTAAACACCAGGCCCCCAACGTCCAGAGTGGCGTCGCAGTACTGGCCCTTCTCCCGCTGCTTGTTGAGCTCCTGCAGAACCCTCACACTGTGCTGGACGAAGGAGCCGTCCATGGTCTGGAGGGCAAGGAAGCAGAAGTGACACCCTGGCCAGCCCAAGCGAGCGTATGCAAGAGAAAGCCCCTGGAGTCGAAGAGAGAGAAAGGGGAAGTTGGCCTCCACTCAAATAATCACATTTATCAGCACGAGGGCTTGGATCAAGGTGAGGGGTGCACGCGGAGGGCAGGAACACACTTGACAGCCCCCCGAGGACCGGGGGCCATATTGGATTGGCCAGGGGGGATGCTGATGGGGGGTCAGGGTCATGAAGAAGGGCCTGGTGGGAAAAATCCAAGTTTGGGGAAAGAAGGCACGGGATGAGCGCGAACTGACTGGCCTGGCACAGTGAGAGGATCCTGGACTGGGGAGGACGGCGGCCGCGGACAGGTGAGCGGAGCCCACGCCGCGCCTACAGGTCCCGAGCGGCCGAGCGGAAGGCAGCCACGGCGGCCCGCAGCCCCTCCCTCCCTCACCTCGCGCCCTCCTCACCCAGGCAGGTCCTCCCTGAGCCGGCCCCACCAGCCCCCGGCTCCGTCGCCTCCACAGCCCACGAACCAACTGCCCGGCTATGCGTGCCCCGCCGGCCGTGCGGAGACGCAGCCGTCTCCGCGCCGGACGTGACGTCAGAGCGTGCCGGCCAGGAGGGGCGCCTCGGAAGCGTAGAGCTTCTAGCTCCGGCACCCGGGGGCGGGGCCTCGCAGAGAACGGCCAATGGGATGAGGGGATGAGGCCACGTCCTGTTCTTTTGGCGCTAGGCCCGCCTCCGGGGTTGCCTAGCAACGTCAAGCTGGGCACCAAGCCTTTTCCAGGTTCTGGGTTCAGACTTCAATCCACGGCACCTCACCCTCTTCCCCGACAGGAGACCAGATACGCATTTCACTTCTTTATTGGCAGCCCGGAGCCTGGTCTGGGCTCTCCCGGGCGCTTACACGTCCCAACCCCAGACTGAGGTGCCCAAAGGCCTCCCAAACAGCTCTGGCCTGCTTGACCTTCCACCCTCAGGACAGAGAAAGCTACCAGCTATGCCTGCCGACCCCACTGGTCAGGTGGAGCCACGGTGCCTCGTGTAGTCCTGAATGGAAGCCTGGAAGTGCTCTGTGCTGTTGAGGTCTGGGCGGCAGAGGATCACGTAGCACTTGGGCAGAAAATACCCGCCGAAGCCGCTGCTCAGGCTGCTCAGCCCAGCCAGCATGTTGACCGCGGGCAGATACTTGCCGTCGTAGACGCTAGCCGTGGTGAAGAAGGCGATCCAGGATATGAAGTTGAAGAGCAGGCTGAAGGTGACACATTTGGCCTCGTTGTAGTTCTCTGGCAAGTCCTTGCCCAGGTAACTGCAGGCAAAGGCACTGATGGAGAGAAGGCCATTGTAGAGAAAGGCCAGAATGAAGCCCAGGGAGTTGGCCTCTGTGCACTCAAGCATCACCAGATGGGGGAAGCGCTGGTATTCCCTGGTGGGCAGTGGAGTCCACACCACCAGCCAAGTTAGGCAGATAAGCAGCTGAGCCGCTGAGCTGATCATCACAAACAGGCCAGCACCATGGTTTTGGACCCAGGCGCGGTAGAAGGTAGGTGCCTTGGTGGAAAACTTGAAGATGATGATTAGTTGGAAGGAGCGAACTGTCAGGCAGGACAGGAAGATGGTGAAACCAAGGGCAAAGAGGGCCTGGCGCAGCAAGCATGCAGGCCTCGTGGGCTCCCCAAAGAAGCCATAGAGGCTGCTGCTACCTGCTGCCAGGGAGCCCAGCATAAGAAAGCACAGGCGGCCCCCTGCTGACCTCACCACAGGGGTGTCTAGGTGCCAGGCAAACAGGCCAGCAGTCCCAAGCAGCAACAGCAGCAGCAGCGTGTTAGCTGCCAGTAGCACCCAAGAGGTGTGCTCTTGACAAGCCAAAAACACCACAGTGCGCGGGAAGCAGGTCTGGCTTCCCTCAGGTGCCCACTCTTCTTTCCCACAAGGCTGGCATCTGTAGAGGTCTGAAAGGGAAGGCCAAGAAGGTTCCTGAGAGCCAGATGAGCAGAGTAGGAATAGGAAATAGGGGCCTGCAAGATGGTGGGAGAATTGTACCCAGGCAGCTAGACTGTGCTAGGCATGGTGGGATGGGGGTAGCTGGGAGTGGGGCCTGAGGCCAAGCAGTTCCTCAAAATGCCTGTGTTAATTACAGACACTGGAGACACACAGGTCAGTTCTATATGGCTCATGATCCCATGAGGGTTTTGCAAACCCCAGGGAGGACCTTGCCCTGGTAGCTCTGCCCACATAACAGAGAGGCTACGATCCAATGGGAGCAGCCTGCTCCCAAGGGAGGGCATTTTAACCCCTCTCCCTCTCCAGCATTTCCATGAACCATTTTCCTTAGCTGCTGCTCTGTGGTTTCTCTGAGTCCTGACCCTCTGAGGACAGAAGGGAAGTATTGCTGTCCCTACAGAGATGGTGAAAGGAAAGAATGTGGCCCCTGGACACCAACGAAGGACATGAGTCCTTAGCTATTTAATTTGCTCTCTGTTCTTGATCTTGCGTTGCTGGATGGGGAATGCTGTTTTTTTTCTCTGTTGCAGACATGCTAGTATCTGTATTCAGGCCAAGCTGTTCAAGGAGCTAGCTGTCTTTGGCATGGGCAACAGAAGGGACAGTAGGACAAGAGGGCACAAAGGGAACAATAGCTACATTCATTTAGAGAAAGAGGTTGAATTCAGGATACGATTGCATTTGTAGGAGTTGTGATGACAGCTGTCTAATAGAGGACACACCTCGGTCTAAGGATTTCAGTTGGCTGATTCTTTCTTTTTCTTTTTTTTTTTTTTCGGATGGAGTTTTGCTTTTGTTGCCCAGGCTGGAGTGCAATGGTGCAATCTCAGCTCACCACAACCTCTGCCTCCCGGGTTCGAGAGATTCTCCTGCCTCATCTTCCCAAATAGCTCGGATTACAGGCACGCGCCACAACGCCCAGCTAATTTTTTTTGTATTTTTAGTAGAGATGGGGTTTCACCATGTTGCTCAGGTGGGTCTCGAACTCCTGATCCTCAGGTGATCCGCCCACCTTGGCCTCCCAAAGTGCTGGGGTTACAGGCATGAGCCACTGCACCCAGCGACTGATTCTCTTTATCAGAATTCTGTCTGGTAGCAGGAGTCCTCCAACCTGAAGCTAACTGGCAGCCAAGTGACTGGGCTCTGGTTCTGGGACAGGGCATGTGCACATGGGGACCAAGGGAGGCCTCCCTCCACTGTGTAGCCCCTGGGAGTGCTGGGTAGCTCGCCTGCTCCATTGCCCACTCACCACTCTTGTTAAGGAAGGTCCCAGCCCCACAGGGCACACACTCAAAGCAACAGTGATGGAAACCTGTAACCACTCGCTGGTGCCCTTCAAGACAGTCACTGGAACACACAGACTTAGGCACCTGTAAGAAGCCAGAGGGGCCACACATAGGGGCCCAAATCAAAGGACAGCTCACATGTGGAACAGAAAACAGAATCTCTGTGCATCTGCCCTCACGGCTCACTCCCAGGGCGGGGCCCCTGGTCATGTGAACTTCCGCCCCAGGGCATCTGCACACTCGCCTATGGAGTGTCTTCCCTGCTTCCCTGGCCAGGATGGGTAGAGTGGTGGCAGCTGGACCTGGGGTCCCCCTCCTGCTCACTGTACACTGTGTCAGCATCACCCCCAGACTCTAGGCTGCCCATAAGGCAGTTACCTGGTGAATGACCACATCCCCATTACCTGGTTGTCCTTTCCATGCCACTGGATTTTGGTCTCATTTATGTCTAGCTGAACTGGAGACCATGTGGAGGAACCGAGGACTGTGAAGGTCCACTTCGGCCCACTCCAATCCCAGGCAATTATGTTATAGCTACTGAGGGGGTCTCCATTGTCATTAAACATCACAGTGTCCTTGTGTAGAAGGAAATTCACCTTGTGGATCTGCTCCAAAAGCTGAAAGAAACACATATCACAAAGCCACCATAGATAGCACAGACCTACATGGTCCCAGAAGCAAGGGCCTGGGGCCTTCCTGGGTTTCCATCCTGGTGGTTTCAGCCCATCGGGAAGGTATAGTCCCTTCCTTCTTAGGAAGCCCCTCAACCCTCCCCACCAACCTCCTGAGAGGAGGCCTCTAACAAAGGCTCCTTTACAGACAGTTTTAGCCCTGGACCTTGTCACTTGACACTTCCAAGACACAGTGGGTGAGAGAAGGTAAGGATCAGAGAGAAAGATCTGTCTAAGAGAAGAGAGCTCACGCCTGTAATCCCAGCATTTTGGGAGGCTGAAGCAGGAGGATCACTTGATGCCAGGAGTTCGAGACCAGCTTGGCCAATGTGGTGAAACCCCATCTCTACTAAAAATACAAAAATTAGGCCGGGCACAGTGGTTCACACCTGTAATCCCAGCACTTTGGGAGGCCGAGACGGGCAGATCACGAGGTCAGGAGATCGAGACCATCCTAGCTATCATGGTGAAACCCCGTCTCTACTAAAAATACAAAAACATGAGCTAGGCGTCGTGGCAGGCGCCTGTAGTCCCAGCTACTTGGGAGGCTGAGGCAGGAGAATGGTGTGAACCTGGGAGGCAGAGCTTGCAGTGAGCCAAGATCGCGCCACTGCATTCCAGCCTGGGCAACAGAGCGAGACTCCGTCTCAAAAAAAAAAAAAAGAAAAATTAGCTAGGTGTGATGGTGGGTGCTTGTAATCCCAGCTACTCAGGAGGCCAAGGCAGGAGAATCACTTGAACCCAGAAGATGGAAGTTTCAGTGAGCTGAGATCGCATCACTGCACTGCAGCCTGGGCAACAGAGCCAGATTCTGTCTCAAAAAAAAACAGTCCATAAGTTAGTCGCATTTATCACCCTTGGCATTTAGGGTGACCAGAGAGTGCCCACTCTGCTCATCTCAGGATTGGCTGTTTTCCCCAACAGAAGGTGCTGGGGTGGGCTCTCTTACCTGCCAGGGGTAGACTCGGCCCCTGGAACAAACTCCAGAGGCACAGCCCAGGAGCTGGTGGAGGCCATGGGCCACTGCATACACAGCCTGGTACGCGTTGTAGGCAGAACTCATGGAGAAGCCTTTGAGCTTGGGCATCGTGTGTGCCGTGAAAGCTTCACATTCTCTGCAGACCTGATTGCTGCTGCAGCAAGAGCTCTTGTGGCAAGGCCTAGGGGCTCCCTTGTCTGCCCGGGCATAGGCTTCTTCAAATGCCTTCAGGCCAGGGACAGTCCTCTTCTGGATGGCCACGCCCAGCACCATCCCAATGCGCTGGATCCCGGGCACCCCAGTGATGTGCCTGGAGAGCACCCAGGCCTCTGAGGCGACCCACACCTTGCCAGTCAGGTTGGCCAGCACCACGGACTCGAAAAACACCCTGGCCAACGGCCGGTTGGAAAAAACGACCACAACGGTGGCCGTGGCCTCGGCCAGGTGGCGCATCAGACGCTGCATCCTCTCATCGCCCACCTGGGCAGAGAAGGGCACGATGTCCTTGAAAGCAATGCAGATCCCCTGATCAGTGGCCTGCTTCTCCAGTGCCTGCACCCCTAGCTGCCCATAGTCGCCACTGCTGCCAACCAGAGAGATCCAGGTCCACCCGAACCTCTGCAGCAGCAGCACCATGGTCTCCACCTGGTACTTGTCGCTGGGGATGGTGCGCAGGAAGGAGGGGTACTGCCGCTTCACGCTGAGCGTCTCGCTGCTGGCCCCATAGCTGATCTGTGGGAGGTGCCATTCAGCCAGTTCAGTGGCATAAGTCTCCACTGAAGGCCCCCAATACCTGGGCCTGTGCTGGATGTGGGGATGCAGGGAGCAGGGGAGACCAGGAGAGCACCACTCACCCTGTGACACTGACAAATCACCTGCGAAGGCTCCACCAGGGCGGGTTGTGGGGGAGGAGTGGGAATCTGCCTGGGAACAAGAGGGGAGGGGATGCATTCCAAGCAAAGGAGACAAAACTTGCATAGGAGTGAAATAGTCCCGTGTGTTTGGGGACCTTCAGGGACTTCCACTGGAGGCAGTTTGCAAGGAAGAAGAGAAGCATGTGTAGGTCAGGGCAGAAGTTAGGTCAGTGGCCTGTTAGGAACCGTGCCTCACAGGAGGAGGTGAGCAGCTTGTGAGTAAGCAAAGCTTCATCTGTATTTACAGCTGCTCCCTTCCTGTCAGATCAGCAGCAGCATCAGATTCTTGTAGGAGCGTGAACTCTACTGTGAACTGCGCATGTGAGGGATCTGGGTTGCGCGCTACTTATGAGAATCTAATGTCTGATGACCTGTCACTGTCTTCCGTCACCCCCAGATGGGACCATCTAGTTGCAGGAAAACAAGCTCAGGGCTCCCACTGATTCTACATGATGGGGAGTTGTAGAATTATTTTATTATATTAATACATGATGGCCAGGTGCAGTGGCTGACACCTGTAATCCCAGCATCCTTGGGAGGCCGAGGTGGGCGGATCACAAGGTCAGGAGTTTGTGACCAGCCTGGCCAATATGGCAAAACCCCGTCTCTGCTAAAAAGTACACAAATTAGCTGGGCATGGTGGCGAGTGCCTGTACTCCCAGCTACTTCGGAGGCTGAGGCAGGAGAATTGCTTGAACCCGGGAGGTGGAGGTTGCAGTGAGCCGAGATCACACCACTACACTCCAGCCTGGGCGACAGAGCGAGACTCTGTCTCAAAAAAAATATATATATATATATATGTATTTTTTATTTATAATAAAATATATTTATGTATTTTATTTATATAAATAAAACAATGTAATAATATAAATAAGTGCACAATAAATGTAATGCACTTGAATCATCCTGAAACCAACCCCTCACACACCTGTCCATAGAAAAATTGTCTTCCGCAAAACCAGTCCCTGATGCCAAAAAGGTTGGGGGCCACTGCTGTAAGCTACAGGGAGGCCCTAAGGACATCCGCAGAGAAGTGCTATGTTTGGACTTGCATTTTTTTCTTTTTTTTCCAAGACAGAGTCTTACTCTATCGCCCAGGCTGGAGTGCGGTGGCATGATCTTGGCTCACTGCAACACCTGCCTCCTGGGTTCAAGAAATTCTCCTGCCTCAGCCTCCTGAGTAGCTGGGATTACAGGTGCCTGCCACCACCCCCAGCTAATTTTTGCATTTTTAGTTTCACCACGTTGGCCAGGCTGGTTTCCAACTCCTGACCTCATGAGCTGCCCACCTCAGCCTTCCAAAGTGCTGGGATTACAGGCGTGAGCCACAGTGGCCAGAACTTGCATTTTATGAGCATATCTCTGACTTCAGTGAGGAATGAGTTAGAAAAGATTCAAGACTAGAATCAGGGGGAAGCCTTAGGACACTGATGGAAGAATCTAGTTGAGAGATAATGCTGGTCTGAATTCCAGCTGTGGCTGTGGCAGTGGAAAAGGAGGCCAGAGAGGACGAAAGATGGGGAGCAGGGCAACGAGGAGTGGCAGTGGGCAGGACTCTGGGGTGATGGCTGCTCCATCACTACCCTCCACCAGAGGGGTGGGGCCAGTACAGGAAGAAAAGAGGCTTTTGTTGTGTAGGGAGGTAAGGTCAATCTGCGCTCTGCTGGGTCCATGATATGGTGCGGTTGGGCCAGCATCAGGGGCTCAGATCAGAGGGGAGGGGACTGAGAATGGGAAATTAAGCCACGAGCCCACAGCCTGCCCGGGAACTGGAAAAGGGGAGGAGAGGAGGGTGAAGCTTGCTCCGGGGAATCACCTACCTCTTCAGAGGAAGTGGGACAAGAGGAGAGAAGGGCTGCAAGTGAAAGCCAGGTGCGGGTAGGGGGATGGGGGGGGCATAAATTCCAAGGAAAGACTCTCATAGGAGGACTGGTCTAAAATGTCACAAAGGGCACGGTGGCTCATGCCTGTAATCTCATCACTTTGGGAGGCCAAGGCAGGTAGATTGCTTGAGCCCAGGAGTTCCAGGCCAGTCTAGGCAACATAGTGAGACCTCCATCTCTACACAAAATACAAAAATTAGCCAGGCATGGTGGCACATGCCTGTGGACCCAGCTACTTGGGAGTATGAAGTGGGAGGATCGCTTGAGCCTGGGAGACAGTGAGCCAACATTGCGCCACTGCACTCCAGCCTGGGCATCAGAGTGAGACTGTCTCAAAAAAAAAAAAAATCACAAAGATTTCACCTAAGATAGGCTGGGCGCGGTAGCTCACGTCTGTAATCCCAGCACTTTGGGAGGCTGAGGCCGGCACGAGGTCAGGAGATCAACACCATCCTGGCTAACATGGTAAAACCCTGTCTCTACTAAAAATACAAAAAATTAGCCAGGTGTGGTGGTGGGCACCAGCTACTCAGGAGGACGAGGCAGGAAAATGGCATGAATCCAGGAGGCGGAGCTTGCAGTGAGCTGAGATCATGCCACTGCACTGTAGCCTGGGTGACAGAGTGAGACTCTGTCTCAAAAAAAAAAAAAAAAAAAGAAGGCACCTAAGATAAAGAAGGACTGCAAAGTAGGATTTGGAGACCTAGAAGGTGCCCCAGCTCACAGCAAAACCAAGAGTGGTGGGGGCAGCCCTCAGGGGCTGAGAAGCAATGAGGGGAGGGAGAAGCCAGCAGGAAGCTTCCACGGGAAGGGGCAGGGAGTCAGTGCTCAGTGTAGAGAGCCTGGAGGAGGGAGAGGGATGACGGCAACCACAGGCCAGGCAGGAACCCACGGGGAAGAATCCATAAGCCAAGGAAGGGTTGTGGTCCAAGGTACAGGGCAAGAATAAGCACAGGGACAGGACGGACCTCAGCAAAGTGAGGGATGTCAGCACCTCTGAGCCAGGAGGGAAGAAGGAAAGGCAGGCAGGAGAGACTGGGATGATGTGGAGCAGTCTATGGGGTGGGAAGCAAAGGGTGTCCTTTTTTGGGGGTGGTGGGGGGGGACAAGGCATCACTCTGTCATCTAGGCTTGAGTGCAGTGGCACAATCTTGGCTCACTGCAACCTCCACCTCCCAGGTTCCAGCAATTCTCCTGCCTCAGCCTCCTGAGTAGCTGGGATTACAGGCACACACCACCACTCTCGGTTAACTTTTGTATTTTTAGTAGAGATGGGGTTTTGCCATATTGGCCAGACTGGTCTCAAACTCCTGGCCTCAAGAGATCTGCCCAGCCTCCCCAAGGGATTACAGGCATGAGCCACAGTGCCCGTCCAGGGTATCCATTCCTAACAAAGGCAATGGAACCTCTGGAGGGAGGAGGGGAGTGGAGGGCAGCACGGGTGCAGCTGAGTGGCAGTAGTTCCCAAGGAGAATGGGTTTTCCCATGAGAGTGGAGGCAGGGATCTGGAAGGCTGGGGCCGGAACCACGCTGGGCAGGGACCCCTGACTTGTGACTAAAGAACAGTGACCACCCAAGAGATCCAGGGGCAGGCAACCTTGAGGGGACAGCAGCTCTTGCCCACATGCCCCAGCCCAGACTTGCCTGAAGGGAGATGGGCAAAGGTCTGAGGCTCCAGCTTACCAGGGGCATCAGGAAAGGGCTCAGCAGGGCGGCTGTGGTGGCAGCACGGTTGGTGGTGTCAGGCCCAATCACCGCCAACACCTTAGGGGAATAGCGGAGAAGGTCTCCTTGGAGCTCTATGTGGCGTGGCCCTGGTAGGGAGAGCACTCTCAGCGTGGCGTACACATTGGCAGAGTCAGAGCACACATCATACAGCTGGTACCCCAGGGTGACGTTGGGCAGCAGGGCCGTGGAGTTGTTTATCTCCTCAACCCCAAGCCGCATAGCCTGGAAGAGGTGGTAGCCATGCTCATTGAAGCTACCAGGCCTGTGGAGAAAGCCAAGCAGAGAGAGCTAAGAAGGACAAGGCCCTGCTGAAACCCTCTGGCCTCCTAGACTCTGAGGCTTGGGGGTAAAAGGGAACCTTTGAGGTCATCGTCCAGTTCCCCAAACCACAACTTCAACAAGGGCTCTGAAGCTCAGCAGGAGAAACAAGCTGGCCCTGATGGAGAAGCATATTAGCATCAAAAAGTTCCTGAGGTCCTGGAGCAGAGAAACCTGCTACATTAGTCAGTGTTCTCCAGAGAGAGAGAGTGAGTGAGAAATTTAGTTTAAGGAATTGGTTCACATTGTGAGGGCTGGCAAGTTCAAATTTCGCAGGACAGACCAGCAGTCTGGACATTCTGTAAAGAACTGATGTTACGATGCTCCTCAGTCCTAAGATGCTATGGAGGCAGAATTCCCTCAAGTCCCTCCTTATACAGAAACTTCAGGCTTTTTTTTTTTTTTTTTTTTTTTTTTTTTGAGATGTGTTAGGGACCCAACCCAGCAAAGGCCCTCTGCCAAGGCAGATGTTCCCTCCCCCCACCTGTTTGTTTTTCTTCATCTCCTGCTTTTCTCACCACCTGCAGGCCCTCTGCCAAGGTGGATGTTCCCCAGCTGTTGTTTTTTTCTCCTAACATCTGCCCATCAACCAGGATGTGGCTTTACCCAGAAACAGCTCCCACTCCCTCCCTAAAATATACTTATACCCCCTAGTCTGTAAGCCTGGGCTGCTGCTTCCTCTGATTGCTGTGGAGCAGCCCAGCAGGTTAATAAACTTGCTTGCCTGACTTTGGGTCTACTCGTTCTTTCTCTCGGCTAACCTTATATTTTGGTGCCGAAACCCAGGAATGGGTAGGCTCTGGCCGGGCGTCCCCAGAGGACTTTCTGTCTGTCTGTCTGTCTCTCTCTCTCTCTCTCCTTCCCTCCCTCCTCGTGGGCTGTGTGCTAGAGCCTTTCCCCCTCATCCCACCTCTCTCCTGGCCACCCTCCCCTTCCCGAACCTGCTGAAGACCTGGAGGATTTCTCAGACTCTCCCATTGTTGGCAACCAAGGGCTTCCTCTGGCCTCCAGGCCTCTGGCTTCTCCATTTCAGGGACACCTGACTCAGTGGCTACCTCCTCTATTCTGGACAGGGCTTGCAGGACAGGGGACACCCTCTCCTGCCATCCTTGTTGCCCGGCAGTCTCTTCTTCCTCTACCCACCCCCCTCCATTCACCATAGGAGTTTCTCATTCTACGCTTCCTAAGACCACCCCTCTTGGGTGTCTTCTGTGCAACCTCAATGTCCTCAGGCTCTGTTCAAAGGTCCATCCTAAGAAGCTGCTTTTCTACTCTAATACTGCCTGGCCTCAATACAGATTAGACAATAGCTCCCAATGGCCCGAAAACGGCACTTTCAATTTCAGCGTACTTAAAGACTTAGACAACTTTTGCCACCGCAATGGGAAATGGTCCGGGATTCCTTATGTTCAGGCTTTCTTCACTCTCCATAGCCACCCTTTTCTTGGCCGGTCCTGTTCTACTTTCCAAATCCTTCTCACCTGCTCCAAACCCAACTTGCCCTCTGCCACTCTTCCTACAGCCCCAGTCGATGACTCCTTTTAACCCCGCCAATTTCCCCCTCCTTGCCACCATCATGGTCCTCCATTAAACCCACCCCAATCCCCCACCTTATGTCACCGTTCCTATTCTGCCCCTTTCTCCCCCTCTCTCTAACCACCCTGCCTCTGACTCCGAATCCTCACTGTCTCTACCCCTCACCCGTTCTCGGGCCCAACATGCCCCTTAACCAGCCCCTTCATGTCCCCTCCGGGAGGTAGCAGGAGCTGAGGGGATTGTCCGTGTCCACATCCCTTTCTCCCTCTCTGACCTCTCCCAAATTGGAAAACGTCTTGGGTCCCTCTGCTCCAATTCCAATACTTATAACAAATAATTTAAATATCTTACCCCATCTTATGAACTCACTTGGCATGATCTCTACATCATCCTCTCTTCCACCCTCCTTCCAGAAGAGAAGGAAAGATTGTGTCTCGCAGCCCAGGCACACGCCACCGATCTTCATCGGCAAGATCCTACTAAGCCCATAGGAGTCACTGCTGTTCCCCAGGAAGAGCCTTCCTGGGAGTACCAACCCACAGACCCTGGCCGGGCATCCTGTAACCATATGATTACCTGCCTCATTGCAGGCCTTAACAAAGCTGCCCATAAGGCTGTAAATTTTGAAAACCTTAAGACATTTCCCAAAAGGCAGATGAAAATCCTGCCCAATTCCTTTCCCGCCTTACAAAGGCTCTCCAAAAATATACCTGCGTCCACCCTTCCTCCCGAGAAGGAACTGTTGTTCTTAACACCTGTTTTATCTCCCAATCTACCCCAACACCTGGCGCAAACTTAAAAAGGCTGAAGAGGGCCCTGAAACCTCACAACAAGACCTCCTTAACCTGGCTTTCAAAGTCTTCAATAACCGGGATGAGCAAAGTAAATTAGATAGAGCCTAAAGAGAGAGAGCACGCTAAATACCAGCTTCTAGCTGTGGCTATCTGTCAACATAGCCATAGTACCCAAGGGCACAAAAGACCCGATAGCAGTAATCCTCCCAGGCGCTGCTTTAAGTGTGGCAAAGATGGCCACTGGGCGCAGGCATGTCCTAACACACGAGTGCTGAAGAGCCCTTGCCCAGTCTGCCAGCAGACAGGCCACTGGAAGTCTGACCGTCGTCTCAACAGATGCACAGAAAAGCCTGCACCTCAGAACCACCTCCACTTCAGCGAGACAAAAAGTGAAGAATCGCTTACACTCCCACAACTCCTTGACCTAGCTTCTGAGAACGGACAAGTCGCAGGGCCCCCAGCCCCAACTGCCATCATGCATCAGAGTCCAGGGTAACTCTGCTAGTAGCAGGTAAGCCAATCTCCTTTATCTATTTATTTATTTATTTTTTGAGACGGAGTCTCGCTGTGTCACCCAGGCTGGAGTGCAGTGGCTGGATCTCAGCTAGCTGCAAGCTCTGCCTCCTGGGTTTATGCCATTCTCCTGCCTCAGCCTCCCAAGTAGCTGGGACTACAGGCGCCCGCCACCTCGCCCGGCTAGTTTTTTGTATTTTTTAGTAGAGATGGGGTTTCACCATGTTAGCCAGGATTGTCTCGATCTCCTGACCTCGTGATCCACCCGTCTTGGCCTCCCCAAAGTGCTGGGATTACAGGCTTAAGCCACCGCGCCCGGCCACCAATCTCCTTTTTAATCAATACCAGGGCCACCTACTCGGCCTTGCCTGAATTCTTAGTACCAATTCTCCCCTCTCAGTCTCAGTTGTGGGGGTTGACAGACTCATCTAGCATCCATGCACCACCAGACCTCTTACTCATTCCCTATTCAATACCATTTTCTCATAGTCTTTCCTTATCATGCCTCAGTGCCCCATCCCCATTCTAGGCTGAGACTTTTTGCCAAATTCAAGGCTTGTATCACCTTTTCTTGTCTCCCTCAACCTGAGTCCCTCCTACTCCTCTCCTCCAGTCCAGTCCCTGACCTCTCTCCCCAGCACCCACTTCCTTCCTCTCTTATGAACTCAATACTATAGGATACTACCACCCCTTCCCTAACTGCTCACTACAACCCCATCAAAATCCAGCTAAAAGACCCCTCCAAATTCTCCAATATCCCCCAATACCCCATTTCCCTAACCCACCAAAAGAGTCTACAGCCCATCGTAAACAAGCTCTGCTCACATGGTCTTCTTCAGCCAATACACCCTCCATGTAACACCCCCATCCTCCCTGTTAAAAACTCAGACGGCTCATACCAACTCATTCAAGACCTCCGAGCCATTAATCAGGCCGTCCTCCATATTCACCCCGTAGTCCCTAACCTGTATACACTTCTCTCTCTCATCCCCTCCAATACCACCCACTACACTGCTATTGTATTGCTAAAAGATGCCTTCTTTACCATTCCCCTACATCCTGATTCCCAAAACCTCTTTGCCTTCACCTGGGCTGACCCTGACACCCTCCAATCACAGCAACTCACATGGACTGTCCTTCCCCAAGGCTTCAGGGATAATCCTCATTTCTTTGGGCAAGCCCTAGCCCAAGACCTCACCTCCTTAGACCTTTCCCCCAGCCGTCTTCTTCAATATGTGGATGACCTCCTCCTCTGTAGTCCCTCCCTAGAAGACTCTCAGACTCACACTATTACCCTTCTAAACTTTCTTGCTAACAAAGTGTACAGGGTCTCCCCCTCCAAAGTACAACTCTCCACCCCAACAGTAACATAATTAGGAGTCCAACTCCTAGCTTCATCTCCCAAATCAGCCAACAAGTTTCTCAGTCCCTCAGTGTCCAGTGGCGCCTCCATATCCCGTATCAACCCCAGTCATCAGGAAAAATTGAAAGGGCAAATGGCGTCCTTAAAACTCAGTTAACCAAACTCACTCTTGAAGTCCAAAACGCTGGACCTCCCTTCTGCCCATAGCCCTAGTACACATCAGAGCCAGCCCCAAAGCACCCTCTTTCCTCAGTCCATTTGAGTTAATGTATGCACGCCCTTTGCTCTTACAAAACAGGCCCCCTTCTAACTCTCAGCTAGGAGAATACGTCCCAACACTCTCTCTCATCCACCATCTCCTCCGTGAACAAGCTGACCAGGCCCTCCCAAAACCCCATGAAGGCTCCACCAACCAGAAAAGGAGCTCCACCATGCTTCTCCTTCCAGGAAAGCATGTCTTCTTAAAAACTCTTAACCCGACCAGCCCCAGGTCTAAGTGGGAAGCTCCTTTCCAAATCATGCTCACGATCCCCACTGCAGCCAAACTCTCAAGACATGCTTCTTGGTACCAACTTTCTAGATTAAAAAGGGCTCCTACAACTGATCCGCCTACAACTGACCCACCCATTGCCTTCCGCCAATTCTCCAGTACCCTCCTTGGCCCAACTAAACTCCTGCCTCATGCCTGTCCATAAAGGAGACACTTAAACAATACCCAGACTCCTCTTTCTCCTCCTGACAATCGCAAGTA